AGAAATGGGTAGTTACTAATAGAGTCTAAACGGTTAAGAACTGCCCAAGGAGTATAAAAGGAAGAGGAAAGCAACGAAGAAAGCCCCGACAAAATTCACTCTCAAACAGAGAATATGTAATTTACTTTTTCTTATATTAACTTTAATTAATTCATCTCCTGTACTTGTGTGCTTGCGCTCCTTGGAGGCATCTTGTCCATATCCAAGCTTGTAATCTTCATATTCAATAAACACCCCTTTTTGGGGACTTTGTTCCAAGAGGTTTGTCCTTTACACAATCGTCTGATCCCTTTTTAATTGTTAGCGAGTAAACGCGCGAAACACTCCCATATCTTTCTCATGCACTGCTTGTTTTTACAACGTGATAATCCTGGTTTCGTTAATCTTGGCACACTGCATATTGGTAGTTGCTTCATTATTTTATTAATTGCAGAAATTGAAGGAAGGAATTGATGATGGTAGCGTGGATGTTGAAGACTGCTCCAAATTCATTCACTATGCAAGTGAAAAGGATTGGAGGAGTGAAGATTTAATTGAAAGCATTCGTGATCTTTTTGTTACTGGAGGCTGGTCTAAGGCTGCATTGAGAGGTCAAATTTGAGAAGCCTCCTCTGGTGATGACGATGACGACAATGATGGTGTCTTTGGTGAATTTGAAGACTTGGAAACAGGTGAAAAGTATGAGAGTATTCAGACATATGGTCTTGGGAATGTCAATAAGGATGATGAGTTAACAGCTGAGGAGAGAGGACATAAAAAACTGGCTCTTCGCTCAAAATTTGATGCCCAATATCCTTCTCTTAGATTTAATATATTTCCACTTCTTTTTCAATATCATTGTTTGAGATTTAGTTGTCTTGACTAATCAGGAGATTATTGCTACCAATAATATATTAAGATAAGTACTAGCATTGAAGTGCTTGTTTTTCTTTATACGACTGAATTAACTATGAACTGTAGCTGCAAATTTTTGTTGGCTGACAAGATTAGGAGATTGCTCNTATTAAGATAAGTACTTGCATTGAAGTGCTTGATTTTCTTTTTACGACTGAATTAACTATGAACTGTAGCTGCAAATTTTTGTTGGCTGACATGATTAGGTGATTGCTCTTGATGTTTGTGGTGAGACAATTGTTGTTGGGTCTTGAAATCTCTCTACTTTTAGATTTATGACTAGCTGCAATATTGTGGTATGTCAGGCCATATGTTGCTAATTTATGTGACATCTGCCATGTTATGATATGAACTTTTGTGCCCTTAACTCTGATACACGTATGGTGATTCTGAGTCACCAGATGAAGACAATTATAGCAAAAATGATGCCAAAGTTAGCCGTGGACAAACTGATGGAAGTGGGTATGTTGATAAGGTAATCTTTCTACTACTGATACTCACGAGCTAATATGCAAACATCAAAAACTAACTTGTTCAGTTTTTCTGTAGTTAAAGGAGGAAATTGAACTTCGGAAACAAGTAAATATGGCTGAACTCAATGAACTCGATGACATTACTCGTATTGACATAGAAGGTTACAGGGCAGGGACTTATCTTAGACTTGAAGTTTCTAGTGTTCCTTTTGAAACGGTTGAGAATTTTGATCCTACTCATCCTATTCTTGTTGGAGGACTTGCCCTCGGAGAGGAGAATGTCGGATATATGCAGGTTAGAAACACATCATCCCCTATTTATTATCTAGTAGACTAATACTGAATGTTGTGCTAGGTTATTCTTTGTTTCTTCTTATACTGGTCATTGCTGAATCTTATTAAAGAATTGTCTCCAGTTCTATTATCGGTGATTGGTTTCCCTTTAATTTCCTATGTTGTTAAATGAGTACTTTGACATAAGTTATGCTTTGGACCAAAGTTTTTTTGGTTTGGGGATACGCTTCTCAAACTTGCTATATTATTGTTTGAGGTATGGATTGTGTACATAGGATTCCATCTCCTTGCCACGTTTCAATACAACTTTATTCGGATGAAATACAGAAAGATTGTGGAACATATATAGCTTTATTTGGTTTGTTAATTAGGTGCTGAGCGAATATCACATCATTTTGTTTTTGTAATGGGTCGAAAGGCAAGAAATCTAAAATTAGTAACCAAATTCACGCCTATAGCTTTATGATTCGAGGACTTGCCTTGGTAAGGGATTTTTTTAAACAGGAAATCTATGCCTACTCATATATTTTCACATCACAATATCCCCTACTAGCTAAAGTGTGATAGTCCTTTCTCACAAATCTGTTGATTGAGCTTGTTTGTTGCTTGGAAATTGTCGTTATTATCTTTTCAAATTAATGGTTTTGTTTGAAAATGGGTGTCCTAGTTTCTGAAGGCACAACGTTTTCAAGATCTACTGCGAAACATTTTGCTGGGTGCTTTTCCTTTTCAATTTTGATAATTCTGCATTTGGGACAAGCGGGGTTAAAAGTTGCACACTATGGGTGTGTTTGTATCCCATTAT